TAAGAGATAAATGGGAGGGTGCCACAGGACGCCATGGCCCAAGACCACATATGTATAAAGCTAAATGGGAGGCTCCCACAGGACGCCATGGCCCAGGACCACACATGTGTAAACCTAAATGGGAGGGTCCCACAGGGCGTCATGTCCCAGGACCACACATGCGTAAATCTAATATTTTGCATAGCACAAGCTCTGCCTTAAAGTAGAAGTCGGGGTGTGGTGGGCCATACCTACCCAAGATGGTCTCCCTAAAAACTACAAACTCTGGTTCCTGCATGTTTTAGAGAACAGACTCTCGTGATGTACAAATTAGGGCTTCCTGGCTTTAGATTATCCCCTGGAGTAGGAGAGTCTCTCACCCCAGTGCCCACAGAGTCCAAGTTTTCCATCTTCGTCTAGAGCACGGCTTCTGGGGCCTGACCAGACCAGGCCCTGAGCTTCTGCACCTACTGGGCCTGCCTCTCATGGATACCAGGCATTCAGACCAGAGTCCAGGTGAGTCTTAGCCCCGCCCGCATAGACTATCACCTGATCTGTGCCCTTTTCCGGGCTGTAGCTCAGGGTCCTCTGAAAGGAGCTGCTGTGCCGCATGCTCAGAATCTTTCCTAGGGAAATTACGAAAAGAATATCAGCCCCACCCTTGGTCCCTGAGTCTCAACTCCACACACTCTGAAGACATGTCAGGCATCCAGAACCCCATAGTCTGCCTCCAGACCAATGACACACTGGCCTTCCTGTTGACTCCTGAGCATTACCCAGAATATGACCTGTGAGTATCCGGAGTTGCTGCCCCCTACCATGAAGGCCGTGCATCCGCCACCACCTCCAAAGGGCAGCATGCCCCACTCTCTCCATGTCCAGAGGCCACTTCTACAACACCTTGCAGCAGTTTGACTGGGGGCGCTTCCGGGCTCTGGCTGAAGAGTTCCACCTCGCTGAGCAGAGTCCCCGCCTCTTCCTGCAGCAGTTCCAGCAACCTGGAGTCTACGTCTTCCGTTTGAACAGCAACCAGCATAGAAAGATGGTTTGTCTGTCCACTCATTTAAAACATCACTCACCATTTCCTCTCTCTTTAGAAAAAAAAAAAACTGCTTCAAAACCAACCAGATAGATACCCAATGACAAAGAGACCCGATCTGGCATAACCAAACTTTCAGGATCCCATAAGCCTAAGAGATGATTCTAGGATCACCAAGATTCTCATCAAGGTAGCCCAATATATGATGTGTTGGGCTAGACTGGTTTAGGATCTTGTCTTATCTCTCACACCCCTCCATTTAACCTGCCCTGCCCACCCTTCTTTCGTCCTTGCATATCCCAAGTCAATATACATAGTGACGCACCCTAGCGAACTATACACTATGCCATTCTGCGTGTGGGTGCCCTCTCTATGTCACACAAGGGATTTAGTATCTCCCCCTGTGAGACCGAGTCCCAGAGCGTGCAACCAGCTCCCAGCTATATGGAGAGTCATCTGATACGAATGAAGTTTCCGGGAAAACCCCACCTCTGTCCACAGCCTCTAAGACTTTTTATCTGGACCAATTGGTTAAAGCTGACATGCCTGGGTGGCCGCTCTGTCCCCTGCCAGTCTCTGGCAGATGGTGGCACCAAAACTAAGTAGATTTCTCTCCACCCAGTACCTCCGTACTCTCCCACCTGGGGGCCGGTGCTTCGCCAATGGGCCCTTCGCCTCTACGACGCCCAGGTATCTTATCCAGACTGGCATTGCCAAGATCCCCAAACCAGTGAAGAAGCCTCACTGGCCAGCAGTCCTGGGAGGGATGCTGCTTCTCCTGGGGCTCTGCCTGCTCCTCTTGGTGAGTAGAGCGAGCGTGTAGCACCTGGCTGGCATTGAACTGATCCTTCCAACCCCCTTCCTTCTGTTCCTGCAAAACCACACCAGCTCTGTTCCGCGATCTTCACACTATGCGCCACGGGAACGAGGCTGAAAATTTAAAAACACACAAACACAGACAGACACAGACAGATGGGTCACAGGGACATCCTTGAGACAAGAACGCCAAGAAAGCTCACATTGCTGTGCTCAGGGGCAGCTTCTATAGCGCGCTGGCCACGCCCCAGCTCTCAGGATCTTTCACCTGTCGACTCATCAGAACCCACTCCCCTGCCATCAGGGTCTCCTGCTCAGAGCAACGGCAGGTTGCTCAGAGTAGAGGAAAACAAGTTGTTTACAAGAAATGCAGGGTCTGGTGATTCTCAGTAAACAACACGTTCCTGCTTGTAGGAGGCGTTGGAATAGCTGCTGAGACCCAGGGAAGGAGTGGTGGAGAAGCCTAACACTTAGTAGGGAGAATACAGACAAGAAAGAAAATGTGACAGAACTGTAGCAAAGCCTCTGCAGGGGCCCCTGGTCACACAAAGACAGAGGTGACCGTTCTCTCTCTTGGAGAGCAGGGTAGATTTTTCCAAAAGACATGAACCCTGAAATAGCAGACACAAGGAGCAGTTCCTGCACCAATAAGGGGGTTGGGAAGTCAAGAGAAAGGAGTGTGCTTTTCAAAGAAACAATAAGAAACGAAGAGGGTATTGCCAACCCTCCAAATGTGTAGGTTTCCCGTCTTATGAATTCAACTACCAACCAAACACATTTGGGAGGAGCTGGAAAGATAGTTTAGTTGGTTACATGTTTGCCTTGCAAGCCTGAAGACATGAATTTGACCCCCAGCACTCATGTGAAAACTGAGCATGGTGGCACATGCTTGTAATCCCAGCTTTGGGGAGATGAGGACAGATGGACCCCTGGGGTTTGTTGGCCAGTAAGCCTAGCCAAACCAGCAAGCCCAGTTAAAGGCCTTGTCTCATAAAAACAAGATGGTTGGCAACTTAGGAATAATACCTGAAGTTGACCTCTGGCTGATGTGGGACAATGGTCTGTATTCTGTCAATTATATTTTAAATAAACACTGATTGGCCAGAAACCAGGCAGGAAGTATAGGTGGGACAACCAGACAGGAAGTAGAAGCAGGTGAATGAGAACAGGAGAATTCCGGGAAGAAGTAAGATCCTTCTGAGGTCTTGAGCAGCCACAAAAGAAGCAAGATGTGACTGCCTAGCTGAAAAAGGTACTGAGCCATGTGGCTAACATAGACAAGAATAATGGGCTAATATACGTTATAAGAGTTAATACAAAGCCCGAGATCATGGGCCAATCAGTCTATAGTTAATGTAGACCTCTGTGTGATTTCTTTGGGACTTAATGACTATGAGAACTGGGCAGGACAGAAAACCTCAAACAACATCTGGCCTCCACATGCACACACACACACACACACACACACACACACACACACACACACACACAGACATCCACTTGCATACATACACACACCAAATAGGAATGAACTGAATTTATACTGAACAAGCACAGGCTTTTCTTGTCATTATTCTCTATAGAATACAGCATGGCACCTGTTTACAGCGTTATTATTCGGCATTCAGTAATATACACATATATAGATGGGTTGGGGACATCGCAGGGCGTGCTTCAATTATCAACAAATACTATGCCATTTAATATAGAAGACTTGAGCATCCGTGGGAGGTTCTGGACCCCGTCCCCATGGGTGCTAAGAGACGACAGCATTAGTAGCAAAGTTTCAAAGACAGGAAACACCAGCCTTTAGCTCTAGAGCCCAAGGACGAGTCCCGTGACTGGAACTTCGGCTGAGAGGCCCAGGATGAAGCTGAGACAATCCATTTTCCTACCTCAGTGGTGGCTAAGAAGACTAAGGAATTTCAGCTTTGTCTTCAAGGCAACACATAAAATTTTTTTGAACATCTGAGAAGATTTGAACTTGTGATAAGCGATAGAGTAAAGGATAGAAAAGGGTTAAAGGGGTGGCCTACAGAGAGCGAGGCCTCTCCGCCTCCCCTAGCCCTTCTGCCACCCCATTGTGTGTCCTGTAGATCCAGTGCAACCGCCTCAGCTGGGCTCGGAAGGCTGCTCCACACCCGGTCTTCAGGACTCACCAGCAAGCATACAACCTTGATGTCTACATCTCCTCGAGAACTGGGGTGACATCAGTGAAGAGGACCCAATCACGCCCAGAGTGTGGGGGCCTCAGAGCTGAAGGGAGCCATGGTGAGTGACAAGTTGGGGTGGCCCCGAATCCTGCCGAGCTTCTGACTAGCTCTCGTCTCCCTGGGTTACACCTTGCTCAGTTCCCGCCATCATTCATCCACTTGTTTTCTCAGAAAACATTTATTGAGTGACTACTGTATACAGATGTTGCTAGGCACTAGGAATACAGTGTAGAGTGGGAAGGAGGCAACGAAGCACAAATTTGTCAAGGGAAAAGTAATATGGCCATGTCCACGCACTCAGATTAAGAAATGGGCATGCCGCTGTTGTCTGACATGTTAGTCCATAACCAACCACCCTGGATTCCCTGTATTTGAAAAGAAATTAAGAAATAGAGATTGGTAAAGGAAATGCATTTATTTTTAGTTTGGCCCAATGGGGAGCAAGAGAATCTAATTTTTATCTGCTACCCCTGTGGCAGTATTACCGTTTATAGCCTTTATAAGACAAAGGCCTGAAGATACATTGATTTAGGTGTGGAATGGTTGACGGTATCTTTTCTTGAAAGAAGGCTGCTTGGCCCCAGGCTGCCTCCGCTATCTCTGTCCTCAGTAGATGGCTCTATTCTCAACGCAGAGGGTTCCCTGTATCTTTACAAGTCATGATAGCCCACCACCTAGAGGGACAAGCCATAAAAGGCATTGTACATCCCTCTGAGGCCTCTCCCTCCGACAGGTGCCACTCAAAGTGTGATCGGAAGGCGGGGCTGGGACTCAGGGGCGCCCCTAGAACTTCATATGCATAGACTTCCCGCTGTGGGGAGGGGTAACCTGTGGTCTTCTGAAGCCCTGAGGCTGGGGCCAGGTGCGGCAGTCTGAGTTCCTGTCACGTCTCTCACTCTCAGAAACACTAGTGGCGTTTGCATAAGGACCGTGCCTTGGGTAGGCAGAGCAAATCTGGACTGCTGAGAGCCCGGATGAAGGTCCGCTGAGGTTGTGTAGAGATCTGCATTTGCGGAGCTAACCATCCTTCCCATCCCCCACAGGCGGGACCTGGGAGGATCAGGTAGACCTAGAGTGCTTTGACACCGAGGCCTTCTTTGAGGTTCTGCATCAGCAGTCCCTGGCAATAACAGCCAAACTCAGCCAAACCACGGAGGAGGTAACTGAAAGCCCCAAAGGCGCTTCCGCTCACGGCTGGCGGGAGCATGTGGTGCTCTGGGGTGGGGGTGGGGCATGGGGCACAGGGGCCTGAAGAATCTGGGGGAAAGGAGAGTAGGAGAGATAGATTTCAGATTAAATTAGGACTAGTTTTAGGAACTTTACAGCATAAGAGTTGAGAGAGGGAACCTAAGCTGGGCAATGGTGACTCCTTCAATCCCAGCACTCGGGAGGCAGGGGCAGGCGGATCACTGTGAGGCCAGCTTTGTCTACAGAGCGAATTCCAGGACAGGCTCCAAAGCTACAGAAAAACCATGCCTCAAAAAACAGAGAGAGAGAGAGAGAGAGAGAGAGAGAGAGAGAGAGAGAGAGAGA